AAATTTATTCATTATCAGCTGTATAAATTGCTTGTATAATCAATGAAAAACCGCAATAATGAATAGCGATGCGGCCCCATGCGGGCGGGTAATGGGAAACAAGGAATCAAATTGGAGTGGCCTAATAATGATCGACAGTGCTGATTAACAATGAATTCCAACTGCAAACATCATGATTGCCACAGCAGACTACTTGGGCAAGTAGAAAGAGTGTCCCTCTACATTATTGAAGGGTTATCTGTACAAAATAAGACAATATGCAACCAAAAACTAATGAAATGTATGCCTACCTGCTTCATTTCTCCAGCCATTTTCAATTTTACATACGATTAATTAGAGCAAATTGGCTTAAAATTAATACGGTATAGGTAACTAGCATTTCCAGCCGCGAACGGAAGTTTCCAATCCCTTTCATTTACTCTATTATCAAGAGTAGATAATACTTAGAAGTATTATCTTCTAAGTATTATCTACTCTTGCTATTATCTATGGACAAGCCACACCTTTTAAGAGCCTCGCCCATTATGAGCCCCACCCATTTGAGACCTGGAATCTTGAATCATCATGTCAGCCTCCATCATACAAACTAAAGATCCTCATCCTATCGAGTTAAAAGATCTTCTAAGTGATCTCGCTGATCTGGTAGAATGGGAAACATTTGGTGGTTTACTTGGAGTTCCAGCTAATATCCTTCGTAGGATCAAAGCAAATGATGCCGAATTGACTAAAAGGGTACTGCACCTTTGTGAATACTTGTTGGAGTTAGACGACATCAAAGATCTGTCTTGGAAGAAAATTATCGAAGCATTGCAGAAGATACCGGAAGAGAAGGGCTTGGCCAACAAACTGTCAAAGAAATATGATGCATAATCATAGTGTTAATTTAATTTAACGATGTTTTACCATTATACTATTAGATCTATTATTATTATGCTTTTTTATTATACTAAGTGTGAAGCAACAATTGGCACTACAACCATTAGACTGGTTTACAACTACCTCCCAACCAGACATTGCACATGTATATATGATAGACAAGTACATACATGAGATTTTGCTTTGAAAGTAGATACCGGTAGCTGTAGATGACATGAAGATTGAAGTTTATTACACTATGATGATCAGCTACATTGATAACACCTATGTTGACTACACCTTCACCCTGAGCACAATGCTAAATGGCAGTGCCTGTTACGGTGCTTTGATATAAAATGAGTTTTTGACTTATTATGTTTCATTAAGTCTTTAAGACTGCAAGCCCAAATGTAAAATGTCTTTTAAAGACAATATCTAATACCCATTTATTATTATACACATCTAATAATGCACTTTTTGTTTAGACAATAATAGACAGTGAAGAAAGACTGATACAAGTAGATATGTAACATATGAAATGACCCAAATGTATTTATCTACTGTGCGCACGATAGATGATTTTAGAGTATTATATATAACTGATGCAATATCTGCTCCCAAACAGACTAAATTAAAATGAATGTTAGAATTATAATAACTAGATCTATTCAAGCTACTAAAGCCTGGTTTCCATATAGTTGCAGCTGTTGTGTGGATTCTGTGGTTAGCATACAACTGTTGTAGAGATAGACCTGATTTCTATCTCCATGATTGTTGCAACAGTGTTGTAAGGCTGTTGTACGGCTATATGGAAACCAGGCCTAAGGGGCGAGACCAGGGGCGTAGCTGGACCTTGGGTGACGGTAGGGCAAGGAAACAAAATGGCGCGCGAAGCGCGCCGCGATTTTGACCACACCCTTTTTACGTAACAAAATGGAGGCATTTTCCTGCAAGCTGAGCAAAATCAGAGTGAACTTATCATTGGTATATAGCTTTAAAAGAGCTGTGGTTATCAGCCATCCCCTTTTGTTATTGTAAGAACAATGAATATAACCTTTTGGGCTATGAATATAATTATAAGGCCACTTTGATGGTAGGGCCCAGGCCCCCTCAGGCCCTACCTCAGCTACGCCCCTGGGCGAGACTAGGATTACTCATAGGGAACGACCGCCTTAGCCGGCCGCATTGCCCTTAGCCCTACCTTTTTCTGTTTATTTATTGCTGCTAGCGCCGCTCAGAATTCACAGTTGTTTCTTTCTAGCTCCATTCATAATGTCGCTCTCCACATTAAGAAAAGAAGATGAAAAACCACGTTCTATTACAGCAAAAGACCTTCTGGATAATCTCATTAGCCTGGTAGCGTGGGAGGCATTTGGTTGTTTACTGGGCGTTCCAATTAATGATCTTCGTAGGATTAAGGAAAATAGCACCAGTGTATCTAGTAGGTTAGTTTACCTTTTCGAATACTTGGTAAATGAGGTAGAAGATCTGTCTTGGGAAAAAATTATTGGAACATTGGAAGCGATACCAGAAGAAAAGGAATTGACCGAAAAATTGTCAAAGAAATATTTTCCAGCAAAGTTTTCTCGCTTAGTCTCTAATATGGAGGAGAATTTGCAAAAAGCAGACTTTGATGATATTTTTTTCTTTACTACCGATTATCTCCAAGTCACATTTAAACCACCACCTGTAAATATCAGAGACTTATTTAAATGCATGCAACCATACTACTGCTTCATGAGCTACAAGATATTAAAGGTCATAGCATCAAAGTTTGTTGAGAATACGATGAAGAGGGATATGGAAAAGTACGATGAAGTGTTAACCAAATGGCTGAAGTCTACAACAATAAAAGAGTTCAAGGAAACAGTTAAAAATGTATCTATTACAGAAGCAGTCGATCCATCACCCAACCAGTGTCTTGTAGTGCTAAGGTTAGAAGGTGAGTGGTTGAAGGTAACTTTGAATAATCTTTGGAAGCTACTGGAGTACCTCTTTGGGAAGGAGAGTTTGATTTTGACCAGATTAAGAGTTAAAGAAGGATCCCGCATGGTTTTAGTTTGCTTATTTGCTCCTCAATCAAAAATACTTCCCCTTCTATCATCATCTAGCATACTGTTAAGAAGTGGACAAGTGTCATACCTTGGTGTCCTAAGTATTCAGTTTGGAAATATCTTTCTGTCTATTCCACAAGATGAGAAATATTCTTTCACATTTGAATCAAGTCTGACAAATGCAGTAAAGTCTAATGGCAGTCTACAATCAATTCGATTCTTGTTAGATCTTGGAGCTGATCCTAACAATGAAAGTAAAGTTTATAATAGTGTCACTCCATTGATGCTTGCTGCTGGAAAAAACAACACAGAAATTATGTCTCTACTGGTAGAGTATGGTGCTAATGTACGAAAGTTTGTTACGCCAACTTTTGGAGAGAGCTTCTCTGCAATACATGCTGCTATTCCTACTAATAGCACGGAAGCTATTAAGTTCTTACTCAAAAATGGTGTGCCCCCTGATCACAATGATCCTGGCAGAAAAGCTACACCACTGAGAATAGCTTCTTTTGATCTAAACAAAGATATTGTTTTACTTTTAATTCAAGAAGGAGCAAAAGTAGACTTTCAAGATTCAGATGGCTTCAGTTCACTGGCATATGCTTGTAACAATGGGTTTGATTCAATGGCTAAGCTGCTGCTAGATGTAGGAGCTGATCCTAACCTCGAAGTACAAAGAGGAGTTACACCACTCATGTTAGCTTGTTACCAGAAGTATTACAACATTATAAATATGTTACTTCAAGCAGGAGCGCATGTTAACACAAAAAGTGATGACAATTCTGATGGTATAACGGCATTACATGTAGCCAGCAGCAATAATGACATTCGACTAGTAAATATACTACTTAGTGCAGATGCTGATATTAACATTCAAGATGCTCATGGCAAGACACCAATGCATAATGCCTGTGCAAATGGAAATGAAGAGCTGGTACAATGTTTTCTCTTGAAAAAACCAAACCTAAATCTTTGTGACAAAAAAGGAAAGTCACCATTACATGCTGCCATTGAAAGTAAGAATCCTAAAGTTGTAAAAACTTTGCTTAAGGCCGGTGCTGATCCTAAAATCAGTGATGGAAACTCTGGTTTCCCCCCACTTCACTGGGCATGTGCTGTTAGTAATGAAGACATCATTCGCTTAATTCTTGAAGTTCCTGACATTGACATTAACGCTCCGAAAAATGATAAATGTGAAACCCCATTGCTTATAGCTGCTGTAACAGGTAATATCAAAGCAGTTGAGCTGTTACTATCAAAAGAAGCTGAAATTGACATTGAGAATAAAGATGGTACCACACCAATATTTGCAGCTGCAGCAATAGGTGAATTAGGTGTCGTCAGTCTTTTACTAAGACATGGAGCCAAAACTGAAAAAAATAGGCGTGGTGAAACACTTCTAAGTGTAACACCGGAACATAGACAAAGGGATATGGAAATTCTACTCCAAAACCACATGAAAAAGGAAAATAATTGAACTTTAACTTTAACTTAAATTTAGTTCTTATAGTTTGTTTTAATATAGTAAGTTAGTTTTAGCAGTTTTCTTTTTTTTTACTCTAGTTATGAGTCATGCAATAGATAATGATTTACTTTTAGACTTCATAGTTTTTTTTCAGAAAATCATTTTAATTAATTAGCATGAGTCCTATTGCATAGAGCTTGAGATCAGGTTCATAACCAAGATCTGGATCATGCACCAAGAACTTTGTTCTAGTACTTTTGATGTGTTGAGACAACTTGCTGCCAAAAGTGAGAGTTAGGCTCTACTTCCTGCAACATGTTGCCCAGTGTTGCTTGACTACATCAAAGGTCTGACCACAAGTTGCCAGCAACAAAATTGCCTAGTGTATGTTGGGCTTTAAAAAGATTTTTCTTTGTTCAAGGAGGGGGTGTGCTTATACATGTAGAAAAACTAAAATGCTTTAGTTATTGTTAACTTAAATCATTCTTGAACTTTTAGTATCGATTTGATGGGTCTTCTTTCAAAATATATTAGTTGACATTATACTTTTGCTTTTGATACAGACTAGCCAATAAATTATTATTTTACTAAAAAAACTGATTTTCTAACAAGTCACACAATACAAATAAAGAGGAAGAGGAGGAGATATAAAGAGAATGAAGTAAAATAATCCAATGTCATATAAAGGACCTGTAGGTAGCCATCACTAGTGTATAATACCATTCACTGCAGTCCACTGCTGGGGAGGAGGGCGGGGTCCTTTGGGCTTACCAACACGAACACCAAAACCTAAAAATAAAAAGCGAAAATAAATAAATAAATAAATAATAATAATGTGTACCATAGTTCCCAGAGAATGAGTATTTATTATTAGCCGACTCAGCGATATTAGACCTTGGAGCTTTCCTTGGTGACACACTACTGCTCTTGCTGCTACTTGGAATACTAGTATCATCTGAAAACCTCTCCTAGAGGAAGAGAGATAGAGAGGAGAGATAATATATGAGGAGTATGTTTAGGTGTGTCCATACTTTCTTTGGTTTATTGGTTAAGTCAGTGTTCCTCATTGTTGCTACAGAGAAGGCAGTTGATGAAGAAGTTGGTGAAATGTGATGATGAGAAGAAGGCAAAAGTGAAGAAGGAGAAGAAGTACGATTCATTGGTACTGGTGGTAGAGGAGCTAAAGAGAGAGGGGGGGAGAGGTATATGCAAATTAACTAAAAAGGTTAACAAATGCAATAGACCTATATATGTAAATGAAATGTGAATTAAATATGTTTGAACTGTGAATGTACATTACACAATAACATGTCTGCGTACATCATAGTTTATACATACATGCATGTGAATTGTGAAATTACACATACATGGTATCTTATGTCACTGACAGTCTGGAAGAAGCTAAAAATACAAAATCCAATTACTAATTATAGTGGGCATGGTTGGTTGAAATGAGACACTCTCAAAACCTTCTCTGTATTAATAATGTATAATGTATTTTCTGTTCTTCTCTGTAACCTTCTCAAAACCCCACAATACTATGGTAGTTGATGTTAACAAGTCCCTCCCTCTTTAAGGACCATATCTATCAAAATAAAATATACAACATA